AAGGGTCTGCTCCAGAGGGCTATTGGGATGGAACGGCCCCAAACGGCTGGAGTTCACGGAGTATTTGGACAGCACTCTCAGACATTGGGTTTGGGTTTGATTCCTTTGTGGAACCCACAGTTGGACATGATAATCCTTGTGGGTTACTTCCCATTTGGGACGTTCTACAGTTCTGTGGAAGAACAAACAAACAAACAAACAAACAAACAAATACTCAAAGTTATAGAAATTAACAGCTACTGAATTTCACAAAAAAATGCATTTTCTTTCTTTTTATTTATTTGTAATTCACTAGAAAAAAAATCCTGCCTATAGAAAGATGAGTCTGAGAATTTGTGGTGGATACAGATACAGCAACACAGAGAGGGCACAACTTGGAGACAGAGAGATTAGGGAATCACAGTCTATCAAGCCAGAAAGACTTTATGAATATTGCAGCCCTAATTGATACCAGAGTTTTCTACTCCTCCCTAGCAACATTTTAAAGTGTTGAGTGCAATGTATGTTATCCACCAGTCTTGGGCTGCCTCTGAGCAAATAGACAAAACTCATCAACTTCTTCTGGAGGCTGAGAAAATACCTTGCAGGGCCTGGGTTTGTTTTAGAGCTGTCGCTTTACATTTGTCTCATCTATTTGTAGCCTTCAGTCTCATAGCTCTTCCAGTTAATGCTTATGCTGGAAGGGTCACAGAGATAATTAATGACCTTTCACTTGCATAAAGAATGCATATAAAGGTTCTTAGAGTTTCTTCACAAAGTTTTAGTTTACAAATTTTCTCTTTTCTTTGTCTGTTTTATCTTCTCACATTCAGGAGTACATTAAGAATTAAGTATAAATATACACGATCTCTTAGAAACCATTTGGGCTGCTATAGACACAGCACCTGCTAAAGTGCTGCCTATAAAAGTAAGCTCCCAAAGTACAGTTTGTTCTATTGTAGATTTGGGGATTTCCATGTATTTTTCCTCTTTGGTGAAGAAAATGCCTGAGCTTTGCCATTTAATTAAGATTAGATTATGTCTTACAATTATGCCTACTAACCATGTCTCTCAATGCCACATTTCCACATTTTCGGAACACCTCCAGAGTCAGTGACTTCACTACCTCCATGGGCAGCCTGTGCCAGTGCGTAAACAGTCTTCCTGAGAAGAAATTTTTCCTAATGTTCAACCTGAACCTCTCCTGGTGCACCTTGAGGCCACTACCTCTAGTCCTATCTCTAGTGACATGGGAGAAGAGGCCAATCCCCATCTCCATCCCCATCACCACAACTTTCCTTCAGCTGGTGGTAGAGAGTGATAAGGTCTCCCCTCAGATTCCTCTCCTCTGGACTGAACAATCCCAGTTCCCTCAGTTGTTTCCCATAAGATTTGTGCTCCAGACCCCTCACAGCTTTGCTGCCCTTCTCTGGACACACTCCAGGTCCTCAATGTCTTTCTTGTAATGAGGGACCCAAAACTGAACACAGTACTGGAGGTGTGGCCTCACCAGAGCTGAGTACAGAAGGATGACCAAATGCACCAAAGGACGGCTTGGAAATGCCCATTTCTCACCCCTGAGAGAGGCATGATGTGCCTCACAGGCAAGTGGTTGCTCTGGCTGCACTCCAAAGTGTTATTTCATGCTGTATTAACCTGTAGCATAGAACCACAAAAATGTTCTGATACATCTTCCAGACAAGGGTAGATCTGTGGTTTGTGGGCTCATAGGAGGAACAGAGTTAGGAACTGGCTCTCTGAGGAAGCAATATGCAGAGGTGCAGATTCAATTCTTACAGGCTGCACTTCCTCAGCAACCAAAGGAATTTCAGACCACTTTTTCAGTGAGCAGCCATTTCAATACCCAATAAAATTATTCACCAACTTTTCCAGGTGTATGTTACTTTTCAGGTACATGTCTCTATGTAATAAGCAAAAATAATTTGTCACTCAAAACTCCAAAGCTTTGAATTTAAAAGTGGTAGATAAAAGACTGAACTTTGCCAAAAGCAATTTCTTTTACTTCAGCCCAGGGGCTGGCCTGTGCAAGCAGGAGCAAACTGAACAGCAGCAATGTTTCTGCACATTTACAGCCTGTTTTCTAAGAAATGATACAAAGAGCTGCGCAGAAGATCTCAGCTGCAGTGCATCAAGGGATTTTTTTTCTTTTTTTCTTTTTTTTTTTTTTTTGACACGAAGTCCATGAATGTTGCTGTGCATTCTGGACTGCCATCTACTGGTGTTTGCTCTGCTTATTGCTTACATAAGTTGTTCCTCAGAGAATCTTTGTAACGATTTCTGTGTAGCCAGTGGATTTGTGCATACAGACGCTGGATGCAGCTTGAATGTGAGGCTTTGTTCAGAGTGAACAGAGAAATTTGCTCAGAACTGTTCGAAAATGGAATACAAAATATGTTTAAAGAGCATTTTTTTAGTAGAAAGACCTCATACTGAAAGGGAAAAAAAAGGTAATGCTATGACCTATTTTGTGTAAACATTATGCAGATTAAATCCAGAAGGATAAAAAAAGATGCTTTTGACTGCCCTATGTGCTGTTACTACTAACACTTCACCTGACTGATAAAACAGCAAATAATATTTTCAGGATAGAACTATAACTTGTAACACCTAAATCACACCCTTATGGAGAAGCACCCAAGCTCATTTTACAGCCAGACTTCAATGTTTGGTTCAGGGCAGGCAGAGCACAGTTACTTTCACTTACAGGCACTTTCATTCCTGCCCCTTATGTGGGCATTTCATCATCATTCACTACCAGATACGTTACAGCATCTTGCTTCTGTTCACTTGGTCAGTTAAAAAGGGCTACACAGAGACACAAATTGAATAAAAAAATAACACTTTAGGCATTTATAAGCCTCCTAACATTGAGTGTAATTAAATCACACTAAAAAAAACAAACAAAACAACGGGGCCATGTGCTTTCGTTTAGATATATTTGAACTCATCCTTGAAGGCTCCCTGAGTGTCTGAGATGCCAGTTGTGAAAGCAACGCATGATTCCTCTTTATGATGAGTGGGGTTATATCTCTGGGTAGTGGGCAGAGGATGAAAAGACAAGAGATGACAAGGCAGCAAAGCCAGGAGAACCCTACAAACGGACTGGAGAAAACCAAGGTGGAAAGAAAGCTTTTGTGATTGCAGTTTCTGAGCTAAGTGCTGACTGGGAAAAAGAGTTGAGGCCCACCAGGCAAGGCTCACCAGTTTTCTTCACTAGTGCATTTATAGGGACTTGAGATTGTGCATTCTCTATAAGCAAAACAATAGCTATAACATCTCCCACATGAATCATCCCCCTGCTTTCCTTTTAACTTCGGTTGAACTTCATCAGAGTAATGAGAAAACAGTCATCAAAACAGCTATGTAGCTATGCTTTGTGTTTTCAAGTGTAGGTCTCTCTATCTTGCTACCCCTTCCTTCTTGGTGAAATCTGAAAATAAATTTCTTGGAAGCACAATCCTTGGGAGATCTGCCAAGAGAAATTGAGTTCTGTGCATGTTAAACCCTGCTGGACAATCACCTTCATCCTCCAAGGGCACCTTAGCAGTTTTAATATACCAGGGCAAATTTCAGTTATCAGAGCAGTCTCAATGGATAAATTTCTCTGATAAGTTTTCTTATCTCAAAAAAAAAAAAAAAAAAAAAAAAGAAAAGAAAAGAAAAAAAAAAAGAGGAATTTATTCATGAGATTCATATGATTCATATTCATAAGCAGCTTATCATTTAAGAACTCCAGATCCTTAAGAAATCTAGGTTATATCACCAGTCCTGTCACACATTTTCTATGTGGACAAATCACTTAGGAAATTATTCTTCTCTTCTCATCTCTTTCCAGTATTCCAAAAGTTTGTTAGGCTGTGAAGCAGGTTGCTTTTGACTCTGTCTTAAGTGACTTCAGAGGCATATCCATGCCTCCAGGGTGCAATTCATCCCACCCTAATGCAAAAACAGAACATTAAGCAGAACATTTAATTTTGCTTTCCTTGCTAACTGCAGTCCAGAGACTGTTCCCACATTGATTTTTTTTACACATTTTCTTTCACTGTCTTAATCAATGGAGAGAGCTTGGCACCCCTGGAAGTAAGTACATCTCAGTTACCAGACATCTGGTTTGGCAGGGCTGAATCACACTCTGGAGATGCTTCTCTCTATTGATTGCACAGGTTGCCCTAAAGTGTTTCTTCATTCCTGGCAATTTGTACACAATTAGCAGTGGCAAAGTAAATCTCCCATTCACTTCTTTCCATCATGGAGAACCTCACGTTCCTCCACCTCATTCAATGCAAATATGGTGCTTTCACACACATTCTCCATTGTTTCAGTTGATGAAACAAGGATACACTCTCAGGATGAAAAACTTTTGAATGTTAATACTTTTCCAATATCCATGAACACAGCACCTCAGATTTTGATATGTGCATCTTCTTGTGAAGAACGTGGTATTTTCTTATTTTGTACATAAAAAATTATCAAGATACAGTGAAACTAAGTGATTTGTCCATTTCGTTTGACAAAGCACAGGTAGATATTTTCAGACCAAATTACAATTGTTTTCATGTTCCAAGTCAACAATTTTCTCCTTTACTGCATACGTAGACAAGTCCATGATTATGGCTTTGTTCAGTAGCCTGTTGAAGCCAAAAGCCTCCTTTTTGCAACTGCAGCAAAAGGTTTAACTTCGTTTGAATCCTGCTGCACTGATTGATAACACTGAATTTAGCTTTCATGAGTTTCCAAGTGCAAAAAAGGGTGATACATTATCCCACATGGGCAGTCATTGGTGCATTATTTCAAAATTTGCACCATAGTAGGGTGATGTTTTCCATGAAACATCTTCTTATATTAAAATATTACATAGACAATTTTAAATATATATTCTTGCAACAACCTTACTATATCATATATTTCCTTCACTTCTTCCTAATATAGTAATCAAAGTATCTCTTTGTTTTCATTTTTTTTTTAACTGCAACTTTGCTAATAGAAAGTGTTTTGTACAGGTAATCTGCACTCGATCTGAAGAGTACAACAGCCAACAGGCTTTATGCAACGCCACTACTGAAGGGCCTATACTTCGAAATCCTGGAAACAATGACAAATCAAGGACCCCAAGGCTCCCATCTTCATCAGAAGTTGAATTTTGTCTGTCACTCACTCACTATGAATCTGGATCCATGGATAAAATGGCCAATTACAGCTTCCGAAACACTTTGGAAGGTAACGCTTCACTCTGCTATGACATTTCTGTCAGTAACCTGATTGTCTCTAGGATTAGAGCTTTTAAATTTTAGATGTTTTTAGCTAATTTCGTTATGCACAACTCATAATTATATAGCATAACATACTATAATGTAAAATTGTATAAATATATATTGTATTATGCCATATATAATTATAAAATAATAATAATTATTAAATAAGTATTATAAATAATACTTACTCCTATCAACATACAGGAAGTACCATGTTAAAAATATTGAAAGCACAGACTAGACCAGACCCTAAATCCATCTATTATGACACATTGTTTCAACAATAGTTAGTACCAGGCACAGAAATATATCTGCATGAAAACAGATAAAAACAGATAATCTAATAACATACTTTCCCATGATTGCAACCGTGTCCATGCAGACTGCAGGATTATCCTGAGTCTGTCTTCCAGGGACTGTGCTGAATGTCAAGGGTGAAAGAAGATGCTGCCACTTGGGTTGTGTATATGCATTCAGCAACTCGTAGTAGCTTCACGCCAGAATCCAAGGATTAAGGATGACATTATACCTTGAACATTAATCATACAATCACAGAATGGTTTGGATTGGAAGAGACCTTTAAGATCATGTAGTTCCAATCTTCTGCTACAAGAAGAGACATCTCCCTCTAGACCAGGTTGCTCACAGTTCCATCCAGCCTTGCCTTGAATGTTCCAGGGAGGGGGCATCCACAACCTCACTGGGCAACCTGTTCCAGTGTCTCATCACTCTCACAGTAAAGAATTTCTTCCTGAAATCTAGTCTACCTTCAGCATCTTTTGCTGAAGTGTTTAGTTATTCATCTCAGTTATCTAATTAGCCAATCCACTATAAAGGTTCCTAATTTGCTGATAAACGAGGATTCTTTTGTAAATAGAATTGTTATTCTTAATTATCTATTGACCCAATCTCTTTCAAAACTTGCTAAATTGCTAGTAAACAAGGCTAGCACATTATAGTTACCAAAAACCATTACTTCCCTGCTGTATTATTTATCTGCTGAATCAAATTGGCCGTATTTTCATTGATATGCCAGAGATTTTACTTGCAAGGAAGCCACAAGGACCAAAAAATACAGTATAGACTTTGGTGTGAGGATAACAAAGCAAAGCTTTTAATTGTCTGGTATTACTCTTGATGCAGTATGCAATGCCATAACGGGGAAGAAAAAAAAAAAGAATCTGTTTCAGTACTAAAAAATGGTTAAAAAAAGAGAAATATGCATTCTGAAAACAAAAGAAAATAAAGATATTTATTATTGACTCCAGCTCTGAACAGTTTTTGTTGGCAGTTGTGGTTTTTACATTTGAGAAAAAAAAAAAGAAAAAAAAAGTTCAGGAAACAAAAAGGTGGCATAACTTTCTATACATTTTTCTCCACAACATATGTGAGTAAATGCGAAGAGTAAAAATGGAAAAGTAGAGAAAAGGGAAATGAAATAAACAAGACAAAAATTCATGAGTGTTGCTGTTAGTATTGTAAACAAAGCCAAAGGCACAGTGTATAGAGCTATAGAATCAAAATGGACCCTTCACTTTCAAAGGCTTAATTTCAGTGTTATGACTACTCATTAAATTGTACCCTTGACCTGAGGAAGCACATACCTCTCCCAAAGAGGAAGCCAGGAAGTTATTTAAATTTGAAAACCAGAATCAGGGTTTTTGTCTGATTAATTTACCATTTTTTTCTCTGTTGTCTCTGTCACGTTAATGTCATGGCAGTCATGGCTGATCTTTATTAATATACTAGAGTCATCAGCCAAGCACACTATGAAGAGATCATGTTTTATCTGAACTGTGGCAATGTCTCTACATCCTGAAGAAACTCTTGTAGATCAGATTTTCCTCCAAGTGAGCGTTCCTGTTCTGTGTAACAAATCTCTAGAATCGGAAGAATGTTCATATTTCTACTAAGATTGTGAAGCTCCAGCTTATTATCACTAGGCTAGGAGCTCTCATGGATTTAACGTGATTTAGATAATACCTCCTATAAACTTGGGACAAAATGACACGTCCTTGAGGATGAACACAAGCCAGATATGATCCAGAAGCTTAGGTAGTTACAGAACTAGCATATATTATCTTGGACATAGCGTTGCATGACCTCTGGATGCATCCATTTAGCCTATAGCCAGGATAGAGTGAATTTATATCTGTTTTTTTTTCAGTCCATCGAGATGTGCATGCATAATAGCCTTTTTAGAGTGCCTGAATGATTCCCCCAGTGTAGTTCAAAGAGCGAAGGAGAGAGATGGAGCAATTTTCTGCAGCAATGGGGAAGGCCCTTTGCAAGTCCTAGGATCAATGTGGAGGAAGGCTAAGAGGATGCACTACAGTAAGAAAAAGCTCAGTGGGAACAGATTGAGACAATAAATGTCATCCTTGGACATTCCATAGATGCGAAACCAAAAGCAGAACTCCAACTCAGTACTACAATTCTCTCTCTACCAGGGGAAATCCTGTTAAGAAAGTAATGTTTCCTGTAGTCCAACTCCCAGTGCCCTTATCATATTGTTTTATAACTTTAATAGCCTAGCTGAAGGAGCTCTATCTACGGTTCTCCAGAGCTGTTATGAAAGAAAATGAAGTTCAATAGAGTGCAGAAATAGCTCCTCCTTGTAGCCTGAACTATCTATAAAACCAGCTAGTCCTAAAATCTGTTCGCTGTTTGTTTCATAAAAGGCCTTTTTAACTCATTCTCCTGAAAATTATTACAAAAAATTGCTGAAGAATAGGACATTCCTTTCCCATACAACTATCATTACTCTCTTTAGTGCTTCCACAATGAAAATTGTTTCAGACCATAGATTTTAGTTTTTAATTAAGATTCTGCTTCAAGAGCACCTTCAGGTTTTTCTCTGAGTGTATTCCTCATTCTCTTAAAATGCATTAAAATTGAAAAGTAACAGTAATTAAAAAACTGAGAGTTCCAGAATACTACCCAGATCTTGCCCATCAAATTGAGTTACTGCCTTCCTGTCTGCGAAAGTTGAATAGGATATGTAATATAAGACTTCTGAATACTCTGAGAACTTTTCTATTCCAATATGGAGTTAACTTGTTTTAAGACACTTTTTTTTTCCCCACTGAGATTATTTTTAATCTGAATTATTTCGACACTTAAGTTTACACCTCAGGATCATAAACTTTTCAGTTTATTCAACTAAAGACAGTGAAGTGCAGTACCTCATCAAAAATACATGCTAAGATTGAAACAGACAGTAGGAAGTCCTTTACCAAAAAAAAAAAAAAAAAAAAAAAAAAAAACCAACAACAAATCCACCACCACCACCAAAAAACTCATAACGAATAAATAAAGATACATTTTGGTAGCTCTTTTCTTACAAATGATCTGCTTCACTTTTTGTTACATACAGATGCCAAAATGAGACTGCTAATTTGCTTCCGTTGTGCTATACTGTAATGGCATTCTCACATATTTGCTAACAGTTCATAGATCCTAGCATTTATTTCCTTCTTTTAAATCCTTCTTTACTGGTTTACCCAAGTTTGTGCCAATACAACTAACGTCAAATTCTAATTTCTTCTAGATCCAAAGTAAATCCAAAGTAACTCCCTTTACTTAGTGGTGCTACTTTAGATTTACAAAAGATGAGCAGAACCAAGCTAATGATTCCAATGGAGTGGCTCTTGATTTACACCCATGTGAGATTTACTCCTCAACTTTATTTCTGTAATGGAAAACAGCTGTGATCACTTAGAAGATGAAGCCAGAGTATTCCAGATTTAGACATCATACACTTCTGGACAAAACTTCATGCCCTTCCATGTCTGAGCATCCATGTGAACTGGAATTAGCACATTTTGACCATCTAAGAGGTAGTCATCAGCACCACACTGAATGTTTGCCTGAGAGATAACACTGCTATGCAGACACAACTGATGTCAATTATGAGTAACCACAACAAAAATGATCAGCTAAGGTCAATATAGTCTGTTAAAACAACCACCTAGTAGAACTGAACACTCAGGATGTCCTCTTACTCTGAAACAGTAGTTTCTACTTTGAAAAACAGTGGATTAAAAGCAGGTGGCATATCTTTCCTTGGAGGTAAATATTTTACTTAGGATTTGTTGAAAAAAGGTCCTAACTGGAAAACACTACTGACTTCATCAGATGCATCTTGGATGCAAGAAGAGTACAGAAAATCAGTTGATATTATAAGCAATAGGTGAGGATCAGCTGACTGTAAATTAAGATTTGGGCTTCTTTGTGTAGGTCAGCTTTAATGTGACAGGTTCTAAGAACTAGAGGTAGTCAAAAAAAATACTTTTTTTCCACATGTAAGATGAGTATATTCATGGCAATTTCAAATGAAGATCAGTGCCTCTTAAATTTTCCACAAATGGACAAAATAATATTCTTCAGATTCTAAAACTCTGTATCACTTTGATTATTCATGAATTAACTCAGGACACATAGTATCAAGTGCCATAGCAGTCCGTTGTCTGACACAATTATGTATTGTTACTCTTGTCCTGTCATGAAATAATGGAACAGAACATCAAGCACTTCAAAATGTAATTTCAGTTTAATAGAACATCCTGTAAGATCCTATCCCGTGAGATATTTTCATCTGGAAAACTTTTCTCAGTATTCTCACTGTAATCCATATAGCTAACAAAAAATGGTTTCTCAAAATGAAGTTTTCCAGCAGAAAACTTCTAATTAAAAAAGTTTTAGCCTACAGCCAACATCTCTCATCCGGCTTAAATTCTCAACCTCTGAGTAAAGCTGGGCTGCACACTGAGAAAGTGCTGTCAAGTCACAGAGGGTCCTGAACAGATAACCAGAAAGACTGTTCATCTCAGATCACAGTGAAGTTCTACAAGAATCATTATAAGTAAAAACCCTAGGTGGTGGTGTGGTCTAAATTAGATAATCACAAACTTTCATTTGCTACAGCCCGTTAGGCCAAATTCTGCAGATCTTGCAGTTGCTTCACTTTAGAGTGGTTACAATAATAGCATTGCTTGAGAAAATATGTTTCCAATGGCTGAAAGTCTCCACCACTGTAAGTCAGAAGAACACCACTAGCTTCAAAGACCTGTAAGGATATGGTCTTAAAATTTTTATATCTGTATCTTCTTTCCTGTTTTATGGCATGTGCATCTGTCTGTCCTGAGCTTCACCCAAATGTAAACCCTTATTAAAGTGTCATGCTTGTCCAGAGTGGCACTATGTGTAATCAGTCAGCTGCACTTGGATATGCAATATGCAGAGCAGAATTTGGTCTTTAAAGTCCCTGATGCCCCAGTAACAGGCCTAGAAAGTCGTACAAAACTAAATTATATTTTTTAAGAAAGTTTTGAGGCTTAAAAACAAAACAACAATAAATATTTCACAGACATCAGTAGTATCACAGAGGTTTGGCAGTCCATTAAAATAATCAGAGGAGAAAGGACTTCTGGAATGGTTCATCTGTTTCTGTAGCACTGAAGGCTTCTAATGCTCTCCAAGGTCTGCATACCCTTCACTAAACATACTTACAGCACTTCAGACAGTGGCAAATGAGCACTTGAGGGAAACAGTACCTGCTTGAAATACATAATGTTTGATAGATTATGCAGGAACGTCTGTGGACTCTGACATTAGACAGTAAAATCTAAAGTTAGTATAGTTAAATTCTCTATTAAAAGACATATACTTAACTTACTGCATTTTTAATGAGAACCACCTATATATCATCCTAAAAGAGTTAGGCAGCCTTAATTGTGAGTGACATGATTAGCTCCTCCTATAATAAACTTTGGGCTAAATTCTCCTCTGATTTAATTTAGCCTGGTTCTATTGAAGTTGCTTCAACTTCATTGAATCATTGTTACTGATCTACAAGGTTATAAGTAGGAGCAGAATCACATTTATAATCACTTACAAATATGATTCTTCTCTCACTAAAATCACTGGTAACACTCAAGTCTCTTCAGTGATGTATGCCCTACTGGCTATTTCTAATACGCCATAATTAAATGAGAACGTAGAAGGATGTCTGAGTGATTCAGCTTTCTATACTGGCTGGATGATTTAATAGCTCACTACCTCCTAATTCTCTGTGCAATTTCCTCAGTCCTCTAGCCAGTCACTCTCACCACCTTTTGGTACTGAGAATCATTGCATAAGATACTGCATGAGTATTATGTCAGTTCAGTGAGTTAACTCAGTTCACAGAAGGGTTAAGAACAGCTGCATTCAGTACATGGGAGAGGATGGGCACACACACCATAATGCAAAACAGGTGGAAGGAGCTGCCCTGTTCACAGGCAGTGATATCAGTTTGCCTGAAAGAAAAGATTAATATCCAGACAAATAAAATGAATTAATATCAAAACTACAGTTTTATTCCTGCTAGCTTTAATGTTTGTATGGACTTTCCTAACTTCTCATGGTGCACCTTTGAGAATGACTGGACCCCAATTAACTGGGAGATGGGATGTTGGGGTTATTAAAAGCATCCCAGTTACTTGTGAGCATATGATCATTGCAATAAATTGCTGAAATTCAGAAGTTTCATGAAAGTTGACTACAGCCAGAATGTTCTGTATATTTTTTTCTAAAATATTAGATAAAGTATTTGCAGTGCATTGAGAAATTTTTGAAAGTATCTAATGTCTGGTACGAAACATACAATCATAGAACGGCTTAGGTTGGAAAGAACCTTAAAGATCATCAAAATCAAGTTGGAAGTTGGAAGCTGATGATCTTTGGAGTCCCTCGCAGTTAGTTTGGAAGGGACCCCAAGGATCATCAAGTTCCAACTTGAGCTTGATGATCTTTAAGGTCCTTTCCAACCTATGCCATTCTATGATTCTATGATCAAATTCTAGGATCTATGATCAAATTCTATGATCAACCCTGCAATGGGTTGCCAACCACTAGATCTGTCCTCCTGCCTAGACCCTGCACAAATCTATCTTACCTTCAGTATATTATAATGCAGCTGAATATAAGTAAAAGAGTAGTTTCAGAATGATATACACATGTATCTTTTTCAGTTAAGATTCACAGAGATTCCCTGGTAAGGAGTATTGTTAAATCAACTAACTCCACTCCAGTGGTCACACACTATGGCTACCTGTAAGGAAGGCCAAAATTGTTGCAATCAATTCCTATCAATTCTGGTCAAAATGTCAACACGCATTATTCTTCACAGAACCTTTAGAAATATATTTTATTCTGTTTTATTTTTTAATTTTTTTTTTTTTTGGCTAGGTGGCAGCTAGGTAGTATAACATTCCCTATCAGACAACTTCCTGTGGGCAAGATTTTCCCTTTGAGAAATTCTGCCCATGTTTATGCTCCCATGCATCATCTTCAATAATCCTATTCCACTTTGGATGTACTTGACACTTGCAGTTATCTGTAAGCATTAACATGATTGTTGCTCTCTCCTAAATCCAGATTTACCTTACCTTGAAGTCTTTTCATCATCAGCCAACTCTACTTCTTCCAACTCTCCTGATTATGTTTTCTTCTCTGAATTACTTTGAATTTCTTGAAATGTTTTTCATAATATTGCCATGAAAAAGATAGACAGTTATTATTATATATTGATTCTTAGGTGTCACAGGGTGTATTTGACCCTTAGTGTAATAGATAGGCTTCATTTAGCATATAGTGTAGTATTGAAAAATGCTGCCCTGAGATACAGTGGATCCCCATCCATGGAAGCATTCAAGGTCAGACTGGACAAGGCTCTGAGGAACCTGATCAAGCTGTAGGTGTCTGTTCATTGCAGGGGGTTGGAGTAAATGGCCTTTAAAAATCCTTTCTCACTCAAATGCTTCTACGATTCTATGAAAATTCTCCAGGACTTTTCACCAAAAGATTTTGCTTAAAGAAGTTGCTAGACAAGGCAAAGCCTCATAAGGGAATTTAGAAGCACGAAGAGGTGAAAATAGCCCACCAGCAGATCATTCTCAGTGGTGTCTAATAGTCAAGTTTGCAAACTGACAGAATGTTATTTAGTAATAAAACATCAATGGCCACATGTCAATCAATACCTTCTGTGAATCAAGAATTTCCCAGAGAGTTTTCTCTTTTTCCCATCTTTGATAAAATGTGACAATATTGGGAAAACACAGAGCAGCAGCACAATATGCATTCTGCTCAAAGCCCTTTTTATTGGATTATTGATTTTTTAAGATGTTTCAATATCCCTACATTATGTTTTCTCATCCTACAACATACAGAAACTGTGATAATATGACACCTTTGTGAACCAAATCAGAGATGGCAGTAGGGCTAGCATCAGGTTAAGATGTTTTCTTACAGAAAACCAGAGAAGTTCCACATGGTTTAGCTGACTTTGATTTTGAGTCCTTAAAATTAGGGAGGAGGCTTGTCTGTTACGATGCTCAGAAAAGGTTACCAGCACCAAAGCTGGTGTGTGGGGAGGCTACCACACCAGATCAGAAATTCAGGGTTTGCTCTGTGTGACCTACTTGTAAAGCCTGTATTCTAGGAGAGATTCAAAATAACAGCAGTCCACAGACTTTCATGCTCAAGAGGAAAGGTGAAAGAAGATCATCAATTGATTATTAACCATATACACATGCATTAATATTTTACTAATTATTTACAAACCCCTTTTGTGAAGATAATAGCATGTATTGCATTGTCTCCTTTGAATTAAAGAATGAGTTCTGTAGAGATAAGTGATATTAAGTGGCTGCATATATGATGAGATACACTAGCCTGTTGTACCTTAGAAATACCTAAGGACAGAGAAAAAAATGAAAAGAAAAAAAAGAGTAAGTTTAATGTGAATAAACAGACATGCATAAACACCTGCAGGAATTAGGTTTCCTTTTTACAGTCACACAGGATGGATGTAGAAATTTAAAAATATAAACCAATTAAGCAGTACATTTGCTGACATGCTGCATTAGCTACATGGCAGGAGTTTTAATTTAGCTTACTCTAATTTCATCTTTGCTATGCCTTTGAAATTTATTAATACTCCTTTACATGTTTTCTGAAGCTCTTGTCTAAAATGCTGAAAGTAAATGAGTTGAAATAAGGTGCTTTGATCTTCAGTGTTACTGGTGAAAGAATTCTCTGCACTGTAGTATCAGCATGTGATTTTCTCTGGAATATACAGGCTTTGCTGATCCACACACTGCGATATCAAACATATCTCAAAGTGGTTTGCATAATGCCCTTCACATCTACATGAATGGCTCCATGTCCCAAGTACAAGGCTCTGCGAATGATCCTATCTTCATCCTACACCATGCTTTTGTTGACAGGTGAGTTTAATTCTACTTGGTAAACCTAATTTATTTTGTGTTTCTACAGTGCAGTTTTCACTTACGCTTCAAAACTGCAAATATTTTACATGCACAGCATTTTCAGACATATAAAATCATCTTAGCTATTATTTGAGATCAAGTGTCTCTCCTGACCTGTCTTTACATTCATTGGATTAAGCATCATTTGAAAAGTTGACAAATGTAATCAGCTTTTATTACCAAGGTAAAAATAGTCCTTCAATGATGTCATAGTAATTGATATATATGGATGTGTATGTCAAGAAGTTTGGACTGAAAGTGTATGACTCATTTTAACAAGACTATAATCAGTTGGAGTAGTTCCTTAATATTCTAAATGTCAGTGCTCTTTTAATTTCTATTCCATAAGGAAAACCCAAGTGTACAATCCATAAAGAATAACAAATTGGTATTTCAGTGTGACAAACAAAATTGTGACTGTCTCTTGCTGAAAGAGAAGACTGCAGCTGTGCAGGTGGAAAGAGAAGTAAACAGAAAGGTACAATGTTTATTAATAAGAGAGGGTAGGGGAACAGAGCTCTGCAAGAAGAGATTGAAATTACTATGGAAAGGAGGACATTCCAAGATTTGATGGTGACCTTAACATTTTCTGTATGTCCCTACAAAGTATGTGAATGGCTACAGACAATTTACTGTGTACTGTACTACACGTAACTTTGAAAACTGAAGAGCAATAAAAAATAAATACAAACTGCAAAATCCATACAAAAAAAAAAATCTTTAAAAATATGTGAAAAGATTCTTCTAAGTTAGGTGGCGGCCCAGATAATTTCGAGCAGCAGTAATGAAACAAGGACATTCTCTTCAGACCCTTTTATATCTGTCCTGTGCACCCTATGAGGGCAGCAGTGAAACCCCCATTTAAAATACATAATGCAACTGCAACAAACAAAAGGAAGACAGATTGACATTAGTCCAAAATCTAGACCCAGAAAAGTACTTCAATTTATTTCATTTTTTAACTAGCAGCACTCCTTTTCTTCAAAACCTCGAGCTGTTCTCCTAGAAAAAGATTCTTATATGTGTGGAAGATTGGCTTGTTCCAACCTTTCCTTTTTGACTCATCCTGCATTTACTAAATCACTCCGTCAAGTAACTACATCATGAGGTTGTGTGTTACTTGACTTGTCTTTCCAACCTTCTTTTACTCTCCCACTGTGCGCTGACCATGACTTGGCAACGGCAATACTTAGATTAATGATGACTCAAGACAAACTCTTATGAGTCTTTCATGAACACATGTGCTCAGAACTCTACTGATTGAGCCCCTGCCTGCAGGATGATAGACAGACATTCAACCAAAAACCAAAACAGTTTCTTTATCCAGGTTTCCAAGGCATGCAGCACAAAAGGGATGCAGATTATATTCTCAAACATCATCTTGCAGGGAACTTCTTTAGTTCTCGACAGTTTATACTAACGCACTTACATAAAACTTTATCAAACTTGAACAAAAGGCTGTATATATGGAAGATAAAGTTTGTTTTTTCTACTCAGGTTACATAATTAATGAACCTAATGGCTGTGTTCTTCATTGTTTATCCAGTCGAAAACAGGCATCAAGTCTAGGCAGGTCACCGAGGCATCACTGGATTAGTTCCCTTGTAGGGTGATCCTGCTTTGTTCTACTCCTAATATGTAGGTTGTAACTAGACTTCTGGAGGTGTCAGTTTTGAAACTTTGCCAAAAACTTTGCTCAGAACGTTTTAAAAGTTAAACAGCATAACTTAGCTATGATTTAGTATATCCGCCCATTGACTGCTTTACAGGGTGGATGCACCCTGGGTTTCAGGTGCAGTTACAAATTTCAAGTTTGGCACCTGGAAATTAACTTTCCAGTGTCTAGGCTTTTAAAAATGGCTTAGTTGAACACTCAGAGAAAGGGAACACAGAAAGGAACACATTATGCTCTGCAATATCAAAAGACATTGTTTTCCTCAGAAATTCACACTTGTATAAGACCTACGCATCTCAGCTCCCACGCAGTGCAGAGCTTAAATAGTACCTTGGCCTTCATGCTGACCCCTCCCGCAGAGGAACTTCACTTATAGTCATTATAAGGCCCTGGAAATACTTTTCATAACTGCAATTGTCATCCATTTTAGAAGGCAAAATTATTTGCAAAAGATAACATCATTAAATCCTACTGGTACCAAGAAAGTAAATCACTGCACCAGCACTGTGGGGACAATGCAGAAATCCATGATGCAACCTCATCTGTGGCAGAAAGAACTCTACCAGTCCTCTGCAGCTGCTGTGTATACGGGTTTCAGTACACACGGATATGAAAACTGATGATAATGCTGCCTTTGTGTAAGTGACAGAAATGAATTAGCATGATTAGGGTTACTTAGCAGCCTTATCCATGACAGATTAATCATGCTTTTAGTTATAATTAATAAGTAGGTGACTGATAGGTACGTACAGTACATTTAAAAGAATTCTGTTTCTCTCCTACATAGACATTGATTATGAAAGATTACAAAGAAGTTTTGAGACGCAGGGAAGAATATAAAGCACAGAGGAAATGGGAGAAAAAGCATACAGGAGCAGAAGCAGTCTTTTAACTATCTAACATTTACACTAAATCTGCAGAAGACAATATCCCCTCTAGAAAGTGCTGAGGACGTGGAGGGTTGTGAGACAGGAGGTTACTGGCAAAGGGTGAAGAAAAACTGCAGGCAGCAACCACAGCTCTGCTGGATCTTACAAAACAACTCTGTGTCAAAAAAAAAAAACAAAATGGCCTGGAGCTTTGAGCATCTGTTTAGGATCCAGAAGGGGGATTCCTCACACCACTACAAGTTGCTTGAGTGAAACTGAGCATGTAGTTTGCTTTCCCAAGCTCACTTCTCCTGGAGATGTGTTTTCTTCCCATTGAATTCAACAAGACATACCCAAAGACTTTTGAGGAGCTGTTGATCTGAGCTTCAGCTAGCCCATCTGTAAAGTGGGTGATACTAAATGCCCACGCAGCAGGGATGCTGTCAGGGTAAATGCATTAACGACTGTGAAATGCTCAGTTATGACCATAATAGGAATGATAGAAGTAAGGCAATAGATCATTGAGACTGCTTTTCCATGGAAACATATGGTACAGAGGAGGATAAACAAGTGTATACGGAGTCTGCTGACAGGTGTGAGCCAAATGTCAGGAGCTGCTTTCCAAACTGAGCAACAGCCAGTTCCCCATCTGCTGCCCTCAGCCCTTCCTACCCAGGCCTGGTGCCTGACAGGAGGGAGGGATGGAGGGAGCAGAGATGTGGAAAGCACCTTTCTCAGGAGGAAAGCGAAGTTTGGCTTATAAATGCTCTTCTTTTTATGTCATTCTCTTTCATCAATGAAGAACTATGAATGTATTCAGGCAACAGCTTTCTTAGTACTGATAAATCAGACTCCTTGCCTTCTTATTTGCTGGGAAAGATCAAACCCCAAGGTTTAGTAAAAATAGGTGACCACTGTGAGAATTATTAATTATCAATCATTGATTGTTAGTTGAATCACTTAGAAAGAGAGAAAGAAAGAGAGAGAGCGAGAGAGCAAGAAAGAAAGAAAGAAAGAAAGAAAGCAAGAAAGAAAGAAAGAAAGAAAGAAAGAGAAGAGAAAGAGAAAGAGAAAGAGAAAGAGAAAGAGAAAGAGAAAGAGAAAGAGAAAGAGAAAGAGAGAGAGGAAAGAGAAAGAGAAAGAGAAAGGAGAAAGAGAAAGAGAAAGAGAAAAGAGAAAGAGAAAGAGAAAGAGAAAGAGAAAGAGAAAGAGAAAGAGAAAGAGAAAGAGAAAGAGAAGAAGGAAGGAAGGAAGAGAAAGAGAAGAAAAGAAGGAAGGAAGGAAGGAAGGAAGGAAGGAAGGAAGGAAGGAAGGAAGGAAGGAAGGAAGGAAGGAAGGAAGGAAGGAAGGAAGGAAGGAAGGAAGGAAGGAAGGAAAGAAAAAGAAAAAGAAAAAAAGAAAAAGAAAAAGGAAAAGGAAAAAAGATGCAAATAAGCTATATATTCAGCAAAAAATGACATTTTTTTTAGCTGTGTGAAGCATTTCTCCTAATTGCAAATCTCTTTGCCATTCAGATATGCTCTACAGTCAGCACGAGGCAATAACAAGGGAGGAGTCAGCCCACTCAAGCTGCAAGGAGCAGCTGCACAGTCAGTGAAAGCAAGGGCCCACAGTTGCATTTGAGCTCACAGGGGTGTTTTCTGAGCTCTGAAAAGGCATTCTTTCCTCTGTGATGACTCTTTCAACCCCTCCATCCTTACCTCCCCACAGTATCTTCATCCGTTCTCCCTACACCGTTGTCCTTTTAATGTTTTTGGCTTCTTCTCATTTCTGTACTTCTGTACTTTCGTACTTGTCCAGTCCTTGAATTCCATAACCTACCCCAATAATGTCCTTTGCAAAGAGCTAAGAAACCCTAAATATCAATGGGAAAAATAAATTGCAACTGAAGATCTCCATGCTGCTTTATACTCTTACAGCTACTAACGCAGCAGGGCTCCAATTCTCATCTCATTTCTGAGTTCCGTAATACTGGGCAAGGTTTATCACAATAACATGGATGACTTTCAAAGGCACTAATTATATCATGAGCAATTTAGAACTGATTTTCCAGAGGCACACAGTATAATATAGACTTTTGGTCTCCTGCTTCTGTAAAGTTTAGTCTCCTCTTTGGCAACTTTTCAAACTATGCATCCATGGCTTCAGTCACTGCTCTTTCCTTTACTGTGACAGTGGTAGAAAAGCTAAGACATCAGTAAGCTGAAACCTTCACCATCTCACTGGTGAATCACTGTGGCATCATTGCATAGCTGCTTAGTTCTTTTTTGCATGTCTGCATCCATCTGTTGTCCCTTGTCCCATGTGTAAATTATAAGCTATGTCATTAAGGGACCGTCTAATTGCTCTAGTCTGTGCTGTGCCTGGCATATACTTAGCCTCTGACTATGCTTCTCAGGTGAGAATATGAGCAA